CTGGCTTCTGTTAAATCAGTCTGAAATCAGAGAATTCACTGATGAGAGAGGGGACAGCTGTCACCATCCATCGCTAAGTGACCAATAAAAGCTTTAGAAATGTGCTTCATTCTCATCTCAGATCCTTCCTCTGAAAGAAGAGTTAAGAACTCGACGTGAAATCTATTGGTGAGACAACGACTTAACAACTTTATTAGTTTATATTTAAATTAGAAGTGTAGACACCTCTAACGTGGTCAAACCTACAAGCTGTTTGGAGCAGAAATCAAAACTTCTGATTAGAAGTTTAAAAACAGGTAAAAGGCAAATCAAATTCCTTAAGAATTCAACAAGTTGAGGAGGGAATTAAAATATTTATGAAACATGATTCATTTTAAAAATGAGGAGTGCAGATGTTATATAAGGGTACAAACTCAGCAGGAGTATTTTTAAGCCCCAGAGATCTAAGGCACAGACGGTATAGTGGATATGGACAATACTGTATTATAATCATCAAACTTGCTAAGAGACTGGAACTTCCGTACTCCACCCACTTTAAAAAAAAAAAAGAGAATAATTATGATACATGATTGAGGTGCTAATTGTATTAACATGTTGTGCACCTTAAATTTACACAATATGTCAAATATATTTGTATAAATTGGCATTTTTGAAAAAAGAAAAGAAAATGGAGAGTAATAATGCCATTAGTAGAGGAAGAAAGCAAGTGGTAGAGGGAGAGATAATACAGAAGTGGTGTAAGGAAGAAGATTCTTTGCCAGCCCTCTATCCAAGAGAATAAGATTCAAATTCCATCCTTTGGAAATAGTTTTGCTGCTGACTTGAAAATGCTCCTTAATGAATTCCTAAAATTGCAAGTGAAAACAACACTTCTATGTGAAACATACTGTGGCAAAGTCTTTTTGACAACTAACATTTGAATCTCAAGTAATGTCAAGCTGCTCTATAAACTTCACATGTTGTCAAAGGTAAACACAAGAAGATCGCAACAGATATATTTTTCTGAGCTCAAATTACGGTTCTAAGTAGCGTTTTTGTTTTCCTGACTTGATGCAAGTGCAAAGGAAATTTCCATATTTCAAACTCCATTTAATTGTGCAATTGAGGAGTGTCCACCTTTACTTCAATTGGAAGTGACTAATGGGCAATGTAGTGATATGCTGAAAGGCAAAAGATGTCATCCAAATGAGAAGTGTGCTAAACTAAATTCGTATGCTTATGAGTTAATATCAATATTTGGTGTATCTATGTGAAAAGTAAATTTTCAAAGTTGAAATTTATAAGATCTTAAAACACACTAGCATTCACAGATGAACATTCACAATTTTGATGAGAATATTGATTTTGAACCCCCAAATAAGCAAAAGGTTATCTCCCTTGCTCCAGAATTCCATTCTTCTCCTTAGTAGACATATACTATCAAAATATTTAATCAGTTATTATTATATTATCTTTTGAATTTCCTTAATAAAAAATTGTGGAAATTTATTTTTTACTTTTATATGAATGTTTACATAATATACTTGATTTTTATTCTTATTCACCCATTATATCCTGAAATATGTACTATATCTGGACCTTCACAAAAGTTCGTCAATCCCTAATATAAAATACTGTCATATTGGCATTATAGTGTAGTTTTCTTACTGAGTATATGCATTGGGGTGCCTGGCTGGCTCAGACAGTAGAGCATGTGACTCCTGATCTCTGGGTTGTGAGTTCAAGTCCCATGTTGGGCATGGTGCCTACTTAAAAAAAAAAAAAAAAAAAAGGAATGTGCATGGATTCTAATATTAAACATGATCATATTGCTAATCTAGTCATTGTCAAGAGATTGATAATTTCTAGTGATTATTTTTCTGTTCCTTGTATTTCTATGGTTGTTTTATGCAGAGAACAGGAGTTATATTTACAGCTATCTAAATCTTATTTAATAAATATTATTTTATTTTTTGAGTATAGAACTCTTTTAATGTTTGTGTATTTTTGAGAGAGAAAGAGAGACAGAGTGCAAGCAGGGGAGGAGCAGAGAGAGAGAGGGAGGCACAGAATCTGAAACAGGCTCCAGGCTCTGAGCTGTCAGCACAGAGCCCACTGAGGGGCTCAAACTCGGGAACAGCAAGACCGTGGCCTGAGCTGAGGTCGAATGCTTAACTGACTAAGCCACCCAGGCCCTCCAATATTTATTATTTTAAATAATGATATAATTAAATTATTTTTCCTGCTAAACAATTAGTATATATGAATTTTGACATTAAAAATGAAGGCATAATATTGATACAGGATAGAATAGAGATGCAGAAGCCTAAACAACTAGAACAGTAGATAAGAAAATATGCTAGAAGAAAATACTGCAAGTTTTATGATACTTCTGTACTTACTGGCCATGTTGTCCCATTGTCTTTTGTCCATTTTTCTATAGGTTTATTTGAACTTGGTTTCAGTTTTTATCCAACTGTTGACCTGGTCTGTTGCATTCCTCTTGGACCACAGGACAAATGAAATATCCAACAGTTGGAGGTCCCCAAAACACTAGGCCTGGGAACTACTTGGCCTTTGTTCACGACATTTGTCCCCTAAGCTTGGTGTGGCCTTCCCCTTCTAATACCATCTGATCTTTGAAGACAGCCCTAAGCCTGACAAAATTGGTTCTGTACACCAACAGCACTTCATTCATACCACTCAATTAGAGTAAACCACATACGTACCACCATCCGGATGTCTCCCCTCCCTCTCTACTCGGAAAATAGAAGCTTCTGGGGAGCAGAGACAGTGCTTATTTATCGCTGAATCTTCAAAAGTTATCAGTACTTGGAACAAAAGAGGCATTAAATGTTCAAAGATCAGAAGAGATTACTACTAACTTCAACAGCATTCCGTTCACATGGCTAAGGGAGGCATTACAGAGAAGCTTTAAGTTCTTTAACAAACATTTGTAGTAAGGCATTTTAATTTTTTAAAAATATTTTATTTATTTTTGAAAGGGAGAGAGAGAGAGAGAGAGACACTGTGCGCCCGAGGAGGGGTAGAGAGAGAGGGAAACAGAATCTGACGCAGGCTCCAGGCTCCGAGCTGTCACCAGAGCCCAACGCGCGAAGCTCGAACTTGTGAACTGCAAGATCATGACCTGAGCGGAAGTCAGACACTTAACCGACTGAGCCACCCAGGCACCCCTGTAAGTAAGGCATTTTATTAGTCAACTTCGGAAAAATCTCAGTTCCAATTTCAGATACTCTATTGTGTTCTCAAATCATGTGACCCAGTTTGGGTTCGGAAAACACGATTACTTTAGGACTGGCTAGTACTACCATGGGACTCAGACAGACAAATATAAAGATTTCCTGTGCTCCAATAATTTGGTTATAAAGAGCAGAAGACATGAGTAAAAACAGGTATGCTGCAAGGGAGAACATGAATTCTATTAGGCAGTTGGGAAGAAATAAGGCCATCACCAAAAATACAAGCGAAAAAAAACTAAACAATGCCTAGTAAGTTGAATACTTAAGGAATAGATATCATGAACTGCCATACAAATACTTATTTCCATGATCCATTGGGGTCCTAATCTTCACCCTTAAGGTGACCCATGCTAAATTGGGAGATTTAATAGGTGCATTATCCATCTACCAACTACTCACATTCACCCTTTCACGTTCAACAAATACAGAGACACAAAAGTGTGCCAGTCTTTGCTGTTTACGTAACTCCGTTTTTTCATTTGCATTAAAGAAATGAAATGTAAATTTCATTCTGGGACTGTCTCAGTACCCTAGAAATTTAATTAATACCAGAATCATGAACACACTTCAGTCTTTATGGAGTAGGGGGAAATACTTAGAAGTGAAATATCGGCAAACAGGGCCAAGAGGCCTCCATGGCAGAAGCAAGGTCATATAAGGGTTAAGGTCAAAGGGTGCATGATCTAACACGGTTGGGTCCAATTCTTGCCTCCAATTCTTACTCCCCCATTATGTTTCCTCGTCTGTAAAATGGTAATAATAAATACTTAATAAGTTTGCTGGGGAATCAAACTTAGTAATGGGGCACGAAGTGTTCCAAAGCGCCTGATCCCCAATAAATGGTATGCCAGCCTCTGCCGAGAGAACGCTAGACACGTTTCCAAGTGAGCTCGGATCCCGCCTCGCTCCACCGGCGGCCCCTGCCGGCCGGCACAAAGAAGGCTCCCCAGAAGGGCCCTCGGACAGTCCGCCCCTCGCTCCGGGTTTCCAGGCCACAGCGCGGAATCCCTGGGCAGGGCCGGCGCCTACACAGCTTCCTCGCCCGCATCCTTTCCACCGAGTTCGTCAGAACGCGGGCCTCCATGCATCTCCCTCCCACAGCACCGCCGACGGCTCAGAAAAGGGCTCACCGCCCCCGGAGCAGCAGCAGGACGCTTCCCCACGCCCTGGCCGCACTGCCGGCTGACCCCGGACCGCCACGGCCAGGGGTCAGAGGGAGCCCCACCCCCAGGCATCAGGGCCGGGGTGCTCCCCCGCTCCATGCCCCCGACTGTGCAGCTGGCGCCCGGCAGGGGCCTTCCGCCTCCCGCTTCGCGCGCGCTTTGCCGCCTTTATCCGGCGTCCGCACTTGGGTCCCCTCCTACCCAAACGTCAGCAAAGCAAACATTCACCTCGGGCGGCACCGCGGCGCGAAACGCCGGAACAGCGCCCGGCATCGGCGCGCCACGCCCTCTTCCGCCTTCCAAGGCGCCCGGCAACCCTGCGGCCCGCGCGACGAGCCGCCCCTCTGACGCGTGGCCCTCCGGCCCAATCGGAGACAGCGGCAACTAGCCCTAATTTGCATAGGAGCCTGTATATAGGCTCAGGGACAGAGAGCGCCCCCCCCCCCGGCTGCTTAGAAGCCAACCACCGCGTCTAAAACGTGCTTCTTCTGCGGTGAAGACGCCTCCTTCCCCCACGCGCTGTGCAGACCGTCCGCGGCGAGCGGAGCGGGCCCCCCGCCCAAGCGCTGCCGCGCACAGCCCTCCCCGGACGCCCGAAGCCCGCCGCTAGCCACCCGCCGGGACAGGCAGCTCCACGGCGCAGGGCTGGGCGTCGCTAACGCGCCGACCCGCGTCTACACGCCACATGCGCACAGTGAACGCCGAGCGTTCGCTCTTTCCTTGACGTCCTGGGGGCCCTTAGAAGGGCCGTTAGGGACCCGCAGACAAGCCGCCGAAGCCGTACAAGGTGCGGCCCTGGCGCTTCAGCGCGTACACCACGTCCATGGCCGTGACGGCCTTCCGCTTGGCGTGCTCCGTGTACGTCACGGCGTCGCGGATCACGTTCTCCAGGAACACCTCGAGCACCCCGCGCGTCTCCTCGTAGGTGAGCCCAGAAAGGCGCTTGACGCCCCCGCGGCGGGCCAGCCCTGGATGTTGTCCCGCAAGACCTCCCGGTGGCGCTTGGCGCCTCCCTTCCCCAGCCCTTTGCCGCCTTTCCCGCGACCGGACATCCTCCCGGCGTAGAAAGCACTCAACTCCGAAGAGCGAGAGGCTAGTGGCTACCGGAGCGTAGACCAATCCTTATGTTGCCTGGCGGCGGACCTGTTTGAAAACCTCGAGCAAGTGGGCGGAGCCACTTGCTGCGAAGGGACCCCCCCCCCCGCCCCCCACCTTCCCGTGATACGGGAGGGAGCTGTAAGCAGAACGAGACTGACTTTCTTTCTTGGGAAAACTTTTTGTTATTTGTACTATAAACTCGAGGAAAGACTCGGTGGTGTTTCGTTTTCTCAACGCTTGAATAAAAATAGGCCGGATCTCATGCGCGCTGGTTCCTCTCCCCTCCTCCTTCCCCACTACCCCCAGTCTCGCGCGCGGTTTCTATTTATTTTTCGAAAGGAATACTTCCTTTAATAATACAATTCCCAGACTAATACGAAAAATAAATAGTAGCTGGGAATGCATTATGTCTTGTTAGATTTCAAAGCAATTGGCTTTACACCTCTTCATCTGTGGATCTTTTTAAGTCACTAGTAGGAGGCAGAGGAGGTGTTTTAATACTTCTTTTTTTCTTTTATGACCCCTGCAAAGAAAGAATTAAAATTCTTTTTTAATTAAAATTAAAATTCTTTCCAAATCGGTTAAGCGTCCGACTTTCGCTCGGGTCATGATCTCGCGGTTCGTGGGTTCGAGCCCCGCGTCGGGCTCTGTGCTGACTGCCGGCTCAGAGCCTGGAGCCTGTTTCAGTCTGTGACTCCCTCTCTCTCTGACCCACCCCTGCTCACGCTGTCTCTCTCTCTCTCTCTCTCTCCTAGAAATAAATAAAACATTTAAAAAAATTAAAATTCTTTCAAAAAAATCTAATCTTACCCCCTCTAGCCCCTTCCCCGGACTTTTCCTTACCACTGCTTGTGTGCCCTTTGCAGATTATGCTGCCTCTCCTGCCCCCTTCCCGAACCCGGCGCACTTTTGCTTTTCAGCCAAATAACGATTCCTGGGAACATCGTACATTTCTTCTTATTTCATTCAAATTCGAGTTCTCACATCTTGTACTTAAAAATTCCAAGTTCTAAAAATAATAGAGGCCTGGATCTTAGCTTGAAAGAGTGATTTGTACTGCAAATCGCTCATCAGGAGGTTCTCAATCTTTTTCTTAAGAGAATCCCTGAACAAAATAAAACTTCCAGTAGTGTCACTGCTCTAAGATACAGGACTCTGTCCTCCCAAAAGGTTTCATTGCAATAAAAGGCAGCAGTATTCTGAGGATGATTCATAACTGTTTCCCAGGCACTTAACACCTGGAAAAGGAATGTTGTAGTAAATTATACTCCCTCTCCCAAGTCTTTCAAGATAAGCCTTTCTAGAAAAAGCTTTATAGTAAATATTTCTGTATGTCTAAATGCTTAAAGTTTATCCTTACCCATCTGCATAACACAGAAAAATACTTTTACTGTTAATGATAAATTTAAAAAGCTCTCAGAATACTGTTAGTAGGGTTGCAAAAAATCCTGAATAGTCATATTGTACCGCATGATTTTAATCCTTGACAGAGAGAAAGAAAAGTCTATCCATCTTGAAGAGATCGAGATTCTTATAATGGTAAATTAGTTGATTAACTTGTATTAAGACTAAAAAGTCAAGGTTAGAATATTTTCAAGTTAGAAATCCACCTGCTGACAAGAGGAAAAAACAATTGTTAAAAATTTCCCTTGATATAGGCAAAAATTTAAGTAAAATTTGTAAAACTCATATCAAAAACATGTTAATAATGCATCAGAGATTTCTATGTTGATTTATTCGGTTTATCTGTTACTGGATGCTTACTAACATATTTAACCTTCAAACACTTTGGGATAACTACAGGATTTGGACCAAGACAGTCTGGCTCCAGGATGACTGACTTACTTGTAACAGTATACTGCTTCTCAACTTCAAAGATATTTATTGAATGCCTGCTATGTATATAGAAGTTAATCATTGTTCTAGGCACTAAAGACACATACAGAAATAAATAAAAAGGTGATTTCACTGAAATCAAATCTTTAGGATGGTGGGAGGAAATTTGTTTTATTTTTAAATGGATACTATAATCCACATAAAATGTTGCTTATCTTAATGTATTTAAAACAAATAGCAGTATAATTGTATGATTGTTAAATTACATCAGTGAATTATTAAAAGATAGTTTCTTATTTTAAAAAAAAAGTTATTTTGTTCCAAATGCAATGGCTCTGCAATTTAGGTAAGGACAGTTGCTACCGTTCTTCCTTTAGTCTTTACAAGACTTGAGCACCGCATGGGCAGCAGAGGGCTGGGAAAAGGAACTACCAAGTGCCACCAGAATGTGTTATGCGACCAGAGTCTCCGTGGAGAGCGTGATCAGCAGTGCAGTGATGAATAAGGAGCAAGCCAGGGCCAAGATTTTGTGCTTAGGAAACTGAGCTGCTCCTGCGGCCTCTCCATGGAATCCAGAGACTCTTTTCAGGCTCATAACCAGAAAGGCAAGAGATGTTAGATTTTGGCTACGCGAGCTTGTTACCGAAGAAAGCATTCGCGTCTAGTCTAGCACTCTAGTTTCCCAGCCCCTAGAAGCGAAGGTTGGCAGCCTGTGAACAGCAGAATTGTGCAGGGAGTCCAGCGTCATCTGGTCTGATTAAGAAATTTCAGATGGCTGGGGAGCCCGGGTGGCTTCGTCGGTTGAGCGTCCGACTTTCGCTTGGGTCATGATCTCGCGGTTCGTGGGTTCGAGCCCCGCGTCGGGCTCTGTGCTGACTGCCAGCTCAGAGCCCGAAGCCTGTTTCAGTCTGTGACTCCCTCTCTCTCTGACCCTCCCCTGCTCACGCTGTCTCTCTCTCTCTCCTAGAAATAAATAAAACGTTAAAAAAAAAAAAAAAAAGAAAAGAAAAGAAATTTCAGATGGCCCCGGCGCCTGGGCGGCTCAGTTGGTTAAGCATCCAACTTCAGCTCAGGTCATGATCTCACGGGTTGTGGGTTCCAGCCCCCTCCTGGGGCCCTGTGCTGACACATAAGCCTAGAGCCTGCTTTAATTCTGTGACTCCCTCTCTCCGCCCCTCCTCTGCTCTCACACACACACTCTCTCTCCCTCTCAAAAATAAAATAAACATTAAAAATTAAAAAAAAACAAAACAAAACCCGAAACCTAATTTCTGATGGCCAGTTCAGTCCGAGGCATCTTTTGGAGCCAGCTCCCCACACTGCAGACACATCTGGATCTGCAGGAGACAAGGTGCTTGTTTTTAAAAAAAAAATGGCAGGCAGGGGGGCACTGTTGCCCACAGCCGCGGGTTTTGGAGTCAGACAACTAGCTGGCTGGGATGCTGTAAAGGGAGAGAAAATCCACCTACGGGGCACAGCAAAGTTGGGTTCACCACGCGTCCTCGCTGGCTTTAAGCATTTCTTGCTGCAGCGCTTCGTACTTGTAGACAGAGTAGCTCTTCCCAGATTTTTCAGTTCCTAATCACGGTTCCTTAATTCTTAAGACGTTCTTGGCCCTGGAGCGAACTTGGACGTTGAAACCTCAGGACCCAATGAATTCAACGGAGGCCCCAAACGCAGAGCCGTCGGGTCCTGCGCGCTCGGAAGAGGGGTTATGTAAATGAGGACTAGGAGCTTGCGCTTTGGATTGGAGAGAGCCGATGAAGGCGGCGTCCCTGCTGGGAGCTCTGGTTGGAAGCGGAGCCTGCCTGTCATTGGTCAACAGAGCCGAGGATGTCGCCGCGCCCAATGAGAAGCCGTCGCCGAGGGCCGGGACGAAGCCTTAGCGGCACTTCCGGTGTGGCGCTTCGCGTTTACTTACCGGGAGCCGGGTGGCTGCGTGCGCCGCTCGCAGGAGTTTTCAGCGAGAGGGAAACATGTCTGGTCGCGGAAAGCAGGGCGGCAAAGTGCGGGCAAAGGCCAAATCTCGGTCCTCCCGCGCGGGCCTCCAGTTCCCGGTCGGCCGAGTGCACCGCCTGCTGCGCAAAGGGAACTACGCGGAGCGAGTAGGCGCCGGCGCGCCCGTCTACCTGGCGGCGGTGTTGGAGTACCTGACGGCCGAGATCCTGGAGCTGGCGGGCAACGCCGCCCGCGACAACAAGAAGACGCGCATCATCCCGCGCCACCTGCAGCTCGCCATCCGCAACGACGAGGAGCTCAACAAGCTGCTGGGGAAGGTCACCATTGCTCAGGGCGGCGTCCTGCCCAACATCCAGGCCGTGCTGCTGCCCAAGAAGACGGAGAGTCAGAAGGCGAAGAGCAAGTGATCCTGAGGCCGCCCCGGGGGAGCTGGCTTCCCCGGCAGAGGCTCTTTTCATAGCCGCCCGCATTATTTTTCAATACACTCGGTGTCCCGGAAGGCTGGCGCGATTTAGTGGGGAGGTGGGTGGCAAGGGGCCCGCCAAGTCCAGGGCCAATAAAGTCGATGGAAATCGTGTGGTGGAGAGAGATATGTCGTCTGGGGGAACCTTCCAGATGACCCGGGGGGGCAACCGGGAGGCCTCTGGAGCAGGTACTGGTGGGTTGGCTTCTGCCGCTTCGTGGGCTGCTTTGGTCCGCACCCTCAAGGCGTTTTGTGGGCGGAGAAAGGAGTCCAGGAGGGACCCACTGGCTTGGAAAGGGCGCAGAGTTGGGCTCTGTCCCTACTCGCCTTTAATGCAAAAGAGGCAGAGTAGGGTGCGTTTGGATTATTTTAAATCTTTCCCAGGGCCTTCGCTCTTCTGTCTTGTCTGGGCTGTTCAGGCGGACACAATTCTGTAGACGCGGTCGGGGCTAGCTGGTGTGTCTAGCAGGAAGTTGGCTCCCTGGCTATACTTTTCGAAAGAGGGAGTAACTTTCAGTCTTGGAAGAGTGGTTCTGATGACACCGTGTCAACAAGATTTTTCTTGGCCTAATAGCTGTTGTGTTTTCACGTTTTGGATATCAGGTATTTTTATATACGCACTTATGTTCACATTTCTTCAAAATGAAGGAAACATCCAGTAAGATGTGTAATACAGAAGCATGAGTCATGAGTAAATTTGTTCCCCTGACACTCCTCTTGCATAACTGTGCAGTGTCTTTAGTCATGAGTTACTTATGCTTAAAATGATTTTCTCATGACGGCCTTGTCTCCGCCAATTTACACTCCTTTGGAAATGTAATCCGTTTGCTTTTGCTTCCTAACACCAAATAACCTGCTTGAAGTCTTTTAGGTTCCCCCACTGGCCTGGAGTCATGCCCGTATTCCCACAGTCTTCTAGGGGTTGCATTGCTTAATTGTACAGCAGTGCTTTAAATAAACATGAGATGTGTGAGAATGTAAGGGTAAATGACTTCCGTGCAGGAAGAAGCACATTTCAGATCAGGAATCCACGTTTAAAAGTTTAAACCCTAGCCCTCCCCTTCCGCCCTCACCTGACCTTTCCATCCCACCCTTTTCTGCAAGCTTCTAACTGGCCCACAGGGCCCGCAAGTAGGATCCCAGTTCAGATTTTACGTCTTTGGAGTTCTCTTTGCTATGAGCCAGAGTTGCCGTCTTCCTTTAAAAAAAAAAAAAAAAAAGTACTTCATTCTTGATAGTGGGTGGCCCATTATCCCAGTGGACTTTATTTTTTTCCCAACACTTATTGAGCTTTTCAGTAGGTCATGCTCAATACCAGGTGTTGGGAGTACAGCTATGAATGAGGACACCTAGATTTCCACTCTCTCTGGGAGCTTCCTTCGTGTTCTTCGTAACTGAACACAGAACAGTGAACAGATAAGTTAATACCGGAAAAAGCGTTCCCCTTCAGCTTCCATTAATATTCGTGTCTCTCTGCTGCTTGTGGAGTGAAAGTTGGGATTACTTCTCCGACATGGTCATCTCTGAGGTGCACAAAGATCAGGCTACACACGCCTCTGTCAGGAGGCAGATTATTGCCCTCTGATTCTCCAGAATAGACCCCAAAGTTACCATGGGCAGGTGCTAACATGTCCACAGCTATTTACTCCACTCCCACCTTCCATCCAGAAGGCTTCTTCATGTGTAAAACAGTCATAATACCAATTTTAAGGACTGGGATAGTTCATTTACAATACGTATGAGGCACTTATTAGGTGCTGAATAAATTAAAAGACGTACGCTTTCCTACAAGATCTGGGCTTACCCTTAGAGGTTAGGGTATAACCATAACAGGATTGGTTTGGTTTGGTTTGAATTGGTTTTTTAGCACACAATTGTTAGGATAGCTCTCAGTGTTACCACTTTGGGGACATGGTAAGCAGTGGAGGACTATATAAAGTGTGTATATACCCCATGCCGGTTTTGGCATTTAAGTCTAAATTTCATAGAAGATTTGAGGCATCTGAAAGGTTATTACCAAAATGGTGACAGAACAAGAACATGGGCCACCAGGACATTTATTAGAAAAAAGTTGTTTTTCCTGTCTCCCTGAAGATTCATAGGAATCTGTCTAACCCTGTTACATGAAGAGCAAAATGGGCAAGCTAGAAAGTACAATGACTACCCCCCTTCCCCGCACCCCTCCACTGCCCCACGGATTCTGTTTCCCTCAAATACTTCCCTTGCTGCAAGGTTCAATCGGTCTCTCACCAATTGTCATTCATCTGAGTATCTATCTATCTATCTATCTATCTATCATCTATCTATCCATCGATCGATCCATCCATCGATCTATCTGTCTATCTATGAGAGAGAGCACACATACCTGCGCTTCAGCAGGGAAGGGGCAGAAGGAGAGGGAGAGAGAAACTTGAGTAGGCTCCACACCCAGTGTGAGATATGACCTGAGCCGAAATCAAGGGTCCGATGCTTAACAGTCTGAGCCACCCAGGTGCCCCTCACCATTTCTGTTTTCGGGGTTTTTAAAAATCTGAATAATTTATTGGCTGTTAAAAATACATAGTTCCTGCAAAACCAATTCAGCCTGTGATCTTCAATGAACAAATAGTTCTTGCCAATATAAAATTGTTAGTTGCAAAGGCCAATATTTCTTCAATCACTAGACTGCATAGACGATGACTTAGGACAGAACAGGTGGGACCAGAATTCTGATTTTTTAGTACATTTATAATCCATAGTTGTATTTATAGACACACACACTCTTTCCTGCCTAGATAAGTCATTCATGTGGCAGGCTGTGACTTAGGTAGGATTTGTGCTTTGTTTTTCCTGTGGGACTAGTCTTGTTTTTGTTTCTCTCAGAACTGGTCTGTTTAGTTTTGTCTGCCTGGAATTAAAAGGTTTAGTCTGTCCTTGTAATTGGTAGTGACTGGCCTACTGTATGTACTCTCCACAAATGCCCTTGAAAGGTCATATACCAAGGTGCTCAAGGACTCCAGCTGTGTGAAACAAGACTTAAGTTCAAATCTACTCTGCTCCGTACTAGTTAGGTGATTTTGGAAATGTTACCCAATTTCTTTAAACCTCAGTTTTATTTATTAAGTGGGCATAATAGTTGAGTTTATATTAGTGGATTTTGCAGAGGAGTCATTGAGTTAATGTGAATGAGAGCGCAGAATTTTCCCATGTAGAAACAAGCTCAGCGAATAGTAATTATTCCGTCTATGTGCAACTGGATTTAGAGTGATTGCAATAATTGTGGGAGCTACGGAAATAGAAAAACCGCATTTTAGCAATCCTGTGACTTTCCTGATAACAAGCCATAAAAACAAGTTTAGTGGCTGTTTTACTAATTACAAGACATCCACAACTCAACCTGTAACAGGAAAGAGAGTAAGAAATGGTTAAAGCTTGTTAGCCATTCAGATTAAAATCTTAATTTGCATTCTCCCCCCCCTCCCAAAGACAACTTATTTAGGAATTAATGGCTTAAGTACACCCACGCAGATTAAAAATGGAACCTGTTTGTTCAACAACTTATTGCATATATATTATGTCTTAAACCCATGATTGATAACCAGCTGTTCAGAAAAATGACTATAAGGTAATAAAGATGATTACAGTATAACAGGCTACATGCAAAAAAAGGGAGATGCCCAGGGTATTTCAGTAACAGGGAACAGAGGTACCTGTATCACTCAGCCTGGGTGTCTAGGTGTGTGAGTTAACCTGACATGATTGGGTGTTCCAGGCAGAGAGGAAGCACACACCAAGACAGGGGAGTCAAAAGACAATTGGATGTGAGTCTAGGGAAGAAGATCTGGCCTGGAGATGAGAATTTAGAAATCATACCTAAAAATGGTCAGTGGCTACAATCATCCAGAGGGAATATACATGCACAGAATATATGTGTAGATGCATAAGTGGCTGTACAGAAAACAGCCACAGCTGAACGGCATGTGGGGATCTATGAGATCTAATCGCCTGGCAGAAGGAGAGGAGATACCGAGAAGGAAGGACATGGCCCAATGAGACAGGCTGTCGAAGGATGGAGATTTCACACAGCTTGCATCCCTGAACTCCGGGACACCTCTAATTTGCTTAGACCTTGCCATATAATTAGAAAATGTTCTTTAAAAGTTATTACGTTCTCCCACACAGGACATGTGGACAGGCTGACTCAGCTTACTAATGGCGTTGGAATGGATATGCATTTTTACCCTATGCATTCTCACTTTGCACAGACAGAAATTCAGGGTGTATCTGGTGACAGCAAGAGCATTTGTTTAAAAACATTTTTTAATGGTTATTTGTTTCCGAGAGAGAGAGACAGATCATGAGCAAGAGAGGGGCAGAGAGAGACAGAGACACAGAATCTGAAGCAGGCTCCAGGCTCTGTGCGGACAGCACAGGCTTGTCGATGCGGGGCTCGAACCCACAAGCTGTGAGATCGTGACCTGAGCTGAAGTTGGACAGAGAGCATTTGTTTAAAAATCTGGGAAGAATGTTGGGAAAGAACCCTTTAATAATATGTCCTTTATTATCATTCCATTTAGTTGAATTGGTTTTTTTTTTATATGTTTTCATTTTAACTGAAGTTTTAAGTTTTAATCTTAAAGAAGGTACAGAAACTGTGGTAACTTATCAATTCATCAAACTACTTATTTAATTTATTTACTTTCTTAAGGAAATATATAATGCTTATAAATATCAGTTGTAGAAAGTTATAGTTATTCTTATAATTGCCATATAATTTTCAGGTGTATAATGATTCAATATTTATATCTAGTTAACAACTGTCACCACACAAGGTTACAATTTTTTTCTTGTGATAAGAACCTTTGAGATTTACTCTTAGCAACTTTCAACATATGCAATACAGTATTCTGAACTCTAATCATCATGCTATATATTACATCTTGATGACTTAATTATGTTATAACTGGAAGTTTTTACCTTTTGACTCTCTTTCTGCATTTGGCCCAACCCCCACAACCCCCACGCTGCCTCTGCCAACCAGCAATCTATGGTCTGTATTTATGAGCTGGGTGGTTTTATTTTTATTCTCTATATATGTGAGATCGTACGGTATTTGACTTTCTGTCTGATATAGT